ACATGACAAGAATGATAAAGATGCTAAAAGTAAAGAGCATAAAGTAAATGACAGAATTTAAATTTCATTAAAGTAAAAGTTAGTACAATAAATGTTAGAGTTAGTATGCTAGTTTTTTGATTCGGGATAAACTTAGCGCTATGTTAAGCAATCGCATACGGACTTATGTAGAAGTCAATACTATGTGAGGCCGATCAATAATAATTTATGTATCATACATGTTAGAGATATGATAGAAATCATACTCCTAAAACATGTAACACAAGTAAAATAAAGGTGATAAAGACCTCAGTCAAGGAAGATATATTATGATAAACTTATCATCAATTCCAAGTACCTTGAATGATCAAATGATCATTTAGAGATAGATTAGAAATGATGAAAGTTCATAATATCCAACAAGCTTAGATGGATTTAAAAGCTCAAATGCTTTCTAAATTTATCAAAATAAGAAAAATAAGAAGAAAATAAAGATGAGATAAAATGAACAAGACAAAATAAAAATGCAAATTAGATCAAGGTCTTGATCAAGTTATCATCAAAATCAACCATCCATTTTGGTGAATTAAGTCATAAACCAAATCAACACCCAAGATCCATTGATGTTGATAAAACTTGTGATCAAAGAAACCATGAATCAATGTCGGCCAGTAAACAAAAGTCCACAAAGATCAAACATTATATAAAATGCAATCAAACAAATTAAATGCATGAAAAATTATTTTTAAAACGATTTTAAAATGAAAATAAATGGTAAAGTACCAAAATACAATCAAAATACCAAACTAAATTCAAATGAAACCATAAGAAAATCAGAGATGGTCTATAATATTTTTATAAAAAATTTCGTAATTTTTGAAAACCTAAAATTATTTTTAAACTATTTAAAATCAAGCAATAAATCTAAAAAAGATAGAAAATAGTAAAACTAAAAATAAAAACCAAATAAAAATCATCATAGATCAGAAGCCATTGTAGGATCATGTATTAATTTTTTTAGATTTTTAAAAGCATGAAAAACAATTTTAAACTAATTAAAATCAAACCAACAATAAAAAATAAGTGAAAATAGTAAAATCAAAAATAAAAATATATAAAAATAAGAATTATAAGGAGAAAAAGAAGAGAAAATTTTAGAAATAATTTTAGTATTTTTTGGAATTAAAATGAGTGAGATATTAATTTTTAAAGTTAAAACAATTTTAAAACAAAATTAAAAAAAAATAAAGATAGAAATAATAGGATGTGTTGGATCAACTCAACATTAATGAGGTAATCGGATCTAAAGGCTTTTAGACGCTGAACACCATGAGCTTTAGTGAAAATAAAGCACCTTATCCATTTTAAATATGGCCAGTAAGATTAAAATAAATGGCGTGCTTTCATTGGCTGAGCAAGACACATCATCGTCTTCAATCTCAAGCACGCAAAATCTACTGAAATTCGTGATTCTCAAATGGTGACAATGGAAGCTAAGACTTATACAATTGTACTCGTCTTTTCATCGCAAATCCAACCATGTCCACCATTAAAATTTATTTAAACGATGTGAAATGTAATTGGAAGAAAATCAAAAAACTTTTGAAAATGATTTTAAAAAAATAAACAAAGTTAAAGGATCAATCAATGAAAACTAAGGATGTAGTGAGCATCAGTGAACATCAAGCAATATGTCAATAATTTGAGTTGAGAGAAATGTAGCCTCCAACTACCTGTTCGAAGTGTTGTGAAATAGCTCTGAAACTTGACTTGGCTAGAGAGATTCAAGGCACCACATGACTTGATTTCAATTGCTTTACCTTCAAGGAAGAACAACAAAGGTGTTTGAATCGAAAATTTGGATTTGAAAGCTTTGGAAATAAAAAAACGAATTTGAAGAATTTGAGTGTTTGGACTGAGTTTGGCAGCAGTTGTTTCACTCTCAAAAACCTGATAAAATGAATGAGATGATGTCCTTATTTATAGGGGAGTATGATGGAATGTTGAGGTGTGTGAAATGATCAAGAATTGAGTGAATTCGTGTGAAGCTTGCAAATGGAAAAGTTGTGACATGGTGCCCCTCAAAACACAACAATTACTTGAGTTTCAAGATCGTTTTCACTTTTGTTAAGTCCATAAACATGATTATAAGCGAAAACAACTTCTAATTAGATTTTAAGTGAATCAAAAATCTGATCAATATTGGAAATTTCAGTTCAAGGACCCATCTTCAAACATGTGGGGCACTATGTATATGGAAATTTTTTTATTAAATCTTTTTGTAATTAGTAGACAATATCACAAAGATTATAATGTGCCAAGAAAAGTTTCATTTGGATACTTGAGTCAAAATTTATGGCATGTTGAAGTTGACATGAAATCCTGATTACGTGAGCTTGAAAATTTCTAAGTTAAAATGCCTCAACGTGACCTATAATGTCTTAATGAATTACATGGTTTTTCAAGCATTTTTAAACCTTGACCACTGAAGAGAAGTTTTAGAGGGCATCAAGAAGAGCATTGTGCAAAAAGAATGATCTCTATATGATAAAAATTGAGCAAGTTATGATTCTTGAAAGTTGAGGAAAATCACTTGGAAATAGGTCAAAATTTCACTAAATCCACAAATGACATATAATGTCTTCAATTTTTTAATGGTTTTCTTCACAGAATTAGCTCTTGACTTGTAAAGAGAAGTTGGAGAGGGTGTCAAGCAGAGTCATATGCAAAAATAATCATCAAAAAATATTGAATAATGAAGGAGTTGTGGTCTTTTGACATTAAACTTGAAAACGTTGACTTTTAGTCAAAGTGCTTTGAATCAACTTTTATACTTGATCTTTTCTTGCATTCAAATGCATGATGAAGCTCATATGAAATTAGAATGATAAAGTCTTGATTGATCTTTGATTTAACATGACCATACTTGAAGTTACTTGATGATGAAGGCATGGAAATAAACACATATATCTTTGACCTACCTTGAGGAATAAGCAACCAAACCTTGGGGAATTCTTGATCCATTGAGATTGAATGATGTTTGAAAATGATATGACCTAATATTAAAAGTCAATCCCCAATGCACAAGTATTTGATAATCAATGTTGACCGCACTTTGACTTTGATCAAATAAAATCCTAGCTGAGGGAACTTGTTTGATCCACTTGGTTCATGCAAAACAAAATCAAAAGAAAGCAAGACATGTTTTTGTAATTTGATTAGTAGTTAGTAAAACATGAAGCATGTATGTACAAGATACACAAATAGGTGTTTGGTGATCTCATAAAGGCAAACCTAAAAAGGAGAGAGAAAGCAAAGGTTTAAGAGGCAACCCCAAAGTTGTGATCTTTAGATGTATTGCCAAGATGCAAAATAATGAGAGATCTTAAAGGTAAAAATTAAGGTATAACAAATATCATAACTGATTGTCACAATCATTTACCATTGAATCTCTTATATGGTTGATTGAGAAGGACAAAATGTTAATTTGGATTCTCTCCTTCCACATTAGAACTAGGCCCTATGTTTTATCTCTACCACTACCACCACAATCAACACGTTAACAATACTCACAGCCATATTTAAATTTAACAGTCACCTCAAATTCAATCTTACCCACGCGTTATTGAGGGATTTTCAATACTAGACAAATAGGGCACTGGAATTATATTCTTCCTCCTTCCCCGCTTACACTTTAGCATCTTAGCTTAGGTCATTAGCACTGAGACTTCTGCAAAGGAACAGTAGTGAAAATCACAATTGTTGTAGCAAAATAACGGACATGTTATGCCCTTTTCTAAGATAAAATAGAGTTGGCAGACTATTTGAATGGACATTTGAGATGGCATCAAGTTGAGCACAAAATAAATTGGATTGTTAAATTTTTTCCAAAAACATTAGCAGACTCCATTTTAGCCAAAAAAAATTAAATAATAAAAAAATGAAAGAAACCGAGTTAACTCTTAACTTATTCCGCAATTTCTTCACACCCCTTACCTCCATCATCTCCATTTTTATATTTATGATGTTCTTTTCTATATATTACTCCAGAAAGAAAAAAAATTAACTAAAACATTAATCTTCTTCCTCCAGCAAATCTTTCACAGAAGCAGAAACCAACTTCCTCTTGGGAAACAATGAATCAACGTATTTCAAATTTATACTGGAAATACAAATCGCCGTGAATTTTTCTACATAAAACTCCTGCAGATAGTTACCCACATTTATATGCATTTGAGTGTTGTGTTGTTTTGAAAAAAATTGTTGAGAAGGACAATTGAGGGTAAAATACAAGGAAAACTCAACTGCAGTGGATCCTAATTCCAAGGAGATAGAGTTTTGGGCTTTAAATAAACTGTTTGTTTGTTGTGAAAAGATAGACAAAGATGACGATTTTCTACATAAGTTATGCTGATTCATTCTTTCAAATTTTTGCAAACTGAAATACCAAACAAGCCTTAAATCAATACTAATTAAAATCACAGAAGAAATCTTTGGCCTTGATAGTTTATAGCATTTGGGCATTGATACTTAGACCTAAAATACATTTTTACTTATGGACGTAACAGAGCTATGGACTTAAAACATATTGCAAAAAATCCACATATACATATTTGGATTTGAAAACATTATAATCAAACTAAAATGTTGTTCTTATAATAATTTTTCTGTAAATGCAACTAAACTGTTATGTGCATACTATTATTTATCCTGTTATAGCAGCTACTAATATAATAACAAAAAGAGGAAACAGAACAAAAGTTCAATGAAACTTTTGCAGATCTATCAAATATGCAAGAGAAGTAAATCACAAAGAAATATGTAAGACTTCCACTGCACTCTTAGTATATCTAAATAAACTCAGGTAGATTTTTTGGCAAACTCAAGAAATACAATTAAGTAGCAAAACTGAATTTAAGCTAAATTTAAAAATGCCAGAATACAACAATAGTCTTGATTAAAACAAAGCACTGTAACCAAAAGTAAACACGAAAAGAAGTTGCATCCATAACCATAGTAATCTATAGCCTTCTACCCCTTCTACCACTCTTTCTGCGTGTGCTGTCTGAAGGAATTGGGGTCACATCCTCTGCAAATTTAAACACATAAAACAACGATGATTCGAGACAACATTTCAAAGGAAACTGTAGCTTCATAAACAAGATTCACACACACATTAACAAAAGTGCAGAAACAACTAAATGGGACAGAAGCGGGAGGAAGTGGCTTAAAAGAATACCTATGCGACCAATTTTCATTCCTGAACGAGCTAAGGCACGAAGAGCAGCCTGAGCACCAGGGCCTGGTGTTTTGGTCTTGTTTCCTCCGGTTGCACGAAGCTTGATATGAAGAGCAGTTATTCCCAACTCCTGTTGCAGAAAACACAATCAACAACCATTAATGATAAATGCCTAATAAATGAAATTCAGAAATAGGAAAACAAGGTATTGGCAACAAATCCAATTACCTTGCATCTGGTAGCTACATCTTGTGCAGCAAGCATAGCAGCATATGGAGATGACTCGTCTCTGTCAGCTTTAACTTTCATTCCACCTAAACATTTTCAAAGATTATAAAAAACTTAAACTTACGAGTGTATCCTAAATAAAAATCTCAATTTCAGAAGTAGTTTAAATGTCAAAAAGAGCATAAAAAACAATAGTTCTAAATTCCATAACTCAAAACATAAAAATCTCAACAAAAAAAGAGGTAGTACTTAATAAAAGTCCACTGAAATTGCACATAACTTGACGAATAAACTGATTAACGATAAATCTAAACCATAGAAAGACACACTAACCAGTAATGCGGACAAGGGTTTCTCTTCCAGACAAATCAGTAACATGCTGCAACAAATCAAAAATCACCCAATTACACCAACAAATCAGAAACAGCGGAGTTAATACAAATTGAACAAGAAATAGCCAAAATCACTCACAATGAAGGTATCGTTAAACGAAGCAAATATACGAGCAACACCAAAAACATGTTCCCCGTCTTTAACAGCAGGACCAAGAGTAACAGTCTCTTCCTTTGGCTCTCTAACCTTTCTCTTGGACGACTATAAAAAGATAAACCCCAAAACTCAATCAACTATGAGATCTTAACGAAAACATTTTCAAAACAAAAGGAAAAAAAAACTTTGATGGTGAATCAAGCTAGAAAAGTGAAATCGAGAGGAAAGAGTGGTGGTTTGTATGCGTACCATTGTTGAAGGTCTGGCTTTGTTTGGAGGATTCCTGGTTCAATCCTGCGGCGTGCAGCTTCTTCGTTTTCGTTTGAAAGGGAGAAGAAGAATTTATTGTCGATTAGGGTTTTGTGAGATTTGATGTTGGATTGGGCCTTTTTGTTACCCGCTGGGCTCATCTATACCTTGATAATTTAACCTGCCACCCTCTCAGATGTTATGCTATTATCCTATTAACTTTCTGAAATATAAAAATCCATTTCAATATTATATTTTAATATTTTAGAGTTTTTTTTAAAACTTTCATTCACATTGGATTTATCATTCAAACTATCCACACTACCCAATTTTACTCATTTTTTTGAAAAAAAATATGCATTTTTTTAATGTATGGTAAAGAATCATGTTTCTTATGCAATTTTATTAGATATTTTGAAAATATCAGTAAAAATGCATATTTTTAATCGGATATTTTGAAAAATATAATAAAAATGTATATTTTCTTTTGGATTTTTGTAAAATTCGATAAAAATGCATATTTTCTTTAAGATATTTCGAGAAAAAAATCGATAAAAATGTATGTTTTCTATCAGACTTTTTGAAGAAAAAAAACTGGTAGTGAACAAATGTTGCTTAGGTTAATCGAAAATTTCAAAAATCATTTTAAAAAATCAAGTAGTTTAAATTGCATCATTTTTTGTATATGCAATGAGGATCAGAAGATCAGACAACACGATTGCTTCTAGACAACGTGACAGAGCTACAACTGATGTAGGGAGGACTCGTGCAAGGGCATGTGACATTGAGGACTCGCATATCCGAGTGAGAAGAGTAGTCGCGACCAATTCTCACAAGAGGCGGATGGAAGCCGAGCAATTTCTCGCACCCCGTAGTATCTGACATAGAGGATCTAGACCTGCTGCTGGATGGACCATAGATCCTGATGATGAGCAAATTGTTAAGGATGTCCCTGCAACATTTGAGGATAATATGTAAATGGTGGTTGATACATATGTGCCTCATCGTTCTAAGACGGGTGCTCCAACTGATACAGAGGTTACTCCTCAGTTAGATACTAAGGTGTGAAAGTGCAATCACGTTATCATATGTATCACTTTCTTATTTTGATGTTTTTGTCAATTTTTGTGTATATGTTTATTTAGGGGGGGGGGGGGGGGGGGGGGGGGGGCAATTTGGATTGGATTCGGCTAAACCTAATACCCAATCCATATAGGACTCTTCGATTTAGATGAGGTAAAATAACCATCCATTACATCAATGGGCCGGTTCAGACAAACCCACCAACTTTTGGGTTGGGTTGCCCAAATAATTTTTTTTGTTTTATTAATAATAAATAACTAAATGATGACCATCATATTTTTTTCATAAAAATTACTCAATATTTTTATTTTCTTGATAAACAATTAGATAACATATTTTTACTATCTTTTAGTATCATAAAATAATAAATGATATGTAAAATACCTTTTTTCGTCCCTTATCATGTACTCGGGGTCCAATTTGATCCCTTAACTTTTAAAAAAATCAATTAGATCCTATAACTTTTCAGAACGTATCAAGTTAATCCTTTCCATCCAAATGGTGGTAACAATGTTAATTTTTGCTTAGGTGGCAAATGATGTGTTACATAGATATTTGGCGACCATTTTAGTGACATAAAAATGGTCGCTAAAAATGATTTTTTGGGTTTTAAAATATTTTTATTCTTCTTTCATCAACTGCAACTTTCAGTGGATAGAAAAATCAAAAGTAAAAATCTAGAAGATCCAACAACACCTTATATTTCTCAACAAAACAACAACCATGTCTATTGAGGAATTTAATCTCACCAAAACAACTCAAATTGATTAAGAACATTCATGAGTAAAAACCATCAATTCCAACATTCATCCATTCTTGTTATTTTTATGTTTCACTCATAACACCTACTTCTCAATTTCCTTTTTTAATTTCCACCTCCCTAATGTTCCTAAACAACCAACAATAACAACTTTATCAACCCATAGTCTCTCTCTTTTTCCATTACTTAAAACAATGTCATCCACCACTGATATGTAAAGAGTTTGATGAATCCATTTCCATGACATTCAAAAGGGTAATGGAACGAGAGTGATTGAAGAGTTCGATAAATATCGTATAATGAATCTATTTCCACAGATATTGTCTTTCAAAGATGAAAACAAATGGGGAAAGGGAAAAGGGTAACATTGAAAACAAAAACAAAAAGTCAAAAATTGTTTTCAATCATACAATTTAGATCTGGTTTGTTTGAGAATGAAAAATCTTACAAGATTACGGTGGAGATAAATATAATGACTATAACTTGATTCTCCTCATATGTTAACCTTTGCCACCATCAACGGCGACGCCTCTGGCGTTGGATTCTTGCTTGCTAATTGCCACAATTATGTCTTAGTGAGGAGTGACCAAGCGTATTGTACGTGTCGGGGGTGAATCTTGTATTATCGATGTCAGATTACTTTGCTCTCGTGATAAGAGAGAAGGTTCAATCGTTAGTGGTGTTGCGTGATGTGTTGTTGTTCAGTGTTAAGATCAAGGGGAAAAAGTACGGTATGGGTTGTTGTGCGCCTGGGGGATTAGGGATGAAGATGAAGATTGAAATTAGATTTTAAGAATTAGGGTTTTTTTTATTGAATGTCAAAATTATGAATTGAAATTAAAATAGTAATTTTGCCCCAATAATATACAATATGAGTTTGTTTTGATGTTCTTGTTTGTTCATAGAGTTCCGTTTCAAACCAAAATATTTTTCTGAAACCTGAGTTTGCTTTCATAATAATATACTTTCTCTCTTTGATGATCTTTTTGTTGGGTTCTTCATAGATTCATTGCATCCTTATTTTATTGAGATAATACTTGTCAAAATACCTTCTTTTGGGAATACTTTTGTTGGGTTTTTTCTGTTGTGGGTCATGCATCTTGGGGAATACAATGAGGAAAAAGATGAAGATCAAGAACAACAATGAAATTCCATAAATCTTTTTAGTGAGAGATTCTTCAGTCACTAAATTTATCACAAAAGTCAGTCTAGCCATGTGGCATTCCACCTAAGTGCCACCTAACCTTACCCATTGACTTTGACTAACAGAATAGACAGAAAGGACTAACGTGGTACAGTTTGTAGAGTTAAGGGATCAAAATGGTCTTTTTAAAGTTAAGGGACCAAACTGGACCCTGAGTACAAGATAAAGGATAAAAAAAGGGTATTTTTCCTAAATGATAATATCAATTAATAAAAATTATCATGAAATACTAGCAACAAGCTAAAATTGCATAACATAAAATTGTATTAGCATCAAAAAACCAAAGAGTGGAACATTCAAAATTAGTTAAAGTTATATTTCACTAAAATAGTAAATGTTAAGAGACTAAAATTGCAACAATTAAGTTAATATTCGCCAAAATCATTAAAATTGTAATGATAAATGTTTTATTAATGGGTTAGTGAGTTTTTTGGTTTTGGGTCTGATTTTACTCGAAACTTGATTTCTTTAATGGGTTTTTTAGTTTTTAAATCCATATTCACTCAATCACCCGACCTAACCCGCTTTTTGTATTTTTTTTGGGTGGGTTTGACCGTATTTTATGGGTTGACCAACTCATGTACACCCCTATGTTTATTTGTAATTTTCTTATCATTCAATATCCGTGTGTTTGTACTTTATCAGCATTTTAGGTGTATTGTATTTGTTTCAACTATTTAGCGTTGTACCATTAGGACCCTTCACTACTCAATAAAATTAGAGTGATATATCCATTATAATATTTGGAAAATGCCTTAATATTTTATTTTCTTTACTTTTTTATTGTTTTCCATTATATATGTTTATTCTCCTTTATTTTCCATTATGGAGAAATTGGTTGTAGTTTATGGCATTCCCTCTATATAAACCAGCTTTGTGCTGAGGAATAAACATAACAACATTTTACCTATTATCTTGAATATGGTATCAAGAGCACCAGGTTTGAGTTTTATTGTAAAGCTTTCCACAACTAGTATGGTCTTACCTGACTCGCTTAACATACCCTTAGCCCCCTTTGGTGAATCACAACAACATGTGGTCTTCCCTGGCACAAGCCTACACTGGATTAAACCATGGTAAATAACCACCACCTGAGTAGGGTGGCAGTTGCAGAAATGATGGTGGCATAGGAGACAGGCAGACGGCGGTGCTCGTGGAGATGGTGATGGTCGTGGAAATGGCATACTAGATGAAACATCGATGGTCACAACTGTGGTGGTAATTGTGGAACCTAGTTTTACATGTAATATGTCTTTAACTAAGGCATTGTATTTTGATGATACAACCATGATGGGAACTTAGTAGATAAAGTTTCATCATAAAAGCATTTAGCTATGAGAAATAGTGAGAGAAAGTGAAAACAAAAACTTAGAGAGAAAGAGAGGGTGTGTGTATGTGTGTGTGTGTGTGTGTGTGTGTGTGTGTGTGTGTGTGTCAATACACAATTTATATTCTGGATAAAATGAAATGAAGAATGAGACATCTATTTATAGGCTTGAAAATCCCAAAAAGATGAAACTTCACTAAAGCAAAAATGATTGTTGTTAATCGATTAAACCAATCGATTAGGTCATTTAAAAATAATGGATATGAGTTACAAAATAGGAAAGAAGAGATATATAGTTGTTGTTAATTGTTTGAGTGCATTCAAATTGCCTTTTTCCTTATGAACACGCTAATCTAATCGATTGACACTTTGTTATAATCAATTAGATTCAGTTAAAAATATTTTCTTAGCTTTTTGACTGCTCCCATCTTTTTACATGCAACTTCCATATATTTCTTCAAAGTATTTTATTTTCAAAATTATTTTATAAAAATGTTTTAAGTATGTGTATGCTTATAGACATCTACTTATACAAAGAAAAAACTTTTTCTCTTACAAAACATTCACTCACTATTAAATTAGGATATTAACTCCTCTAAGTCTTGCATGATGTATTCATTGTGTTGACC